ACTGCATACTGTACATATACTGTATGCGATTTACCTAAGCTTATCTAAATACATTAAAAAGTTAACTGGTTCATTTAATTCCAATTTTCATTGAGCGAGGTAATCGGCTACTGCATACTGTACATGTACTGTACGCGACTTACCTAAGCTTATCTAAATACATTAAAAATCACTGATGTCAGCAAAAAATTACTGAGACAGAATTTGAAGAGTGTGAAGGATCATATATAACATTTACATATGCCTGTTTAACTTTACGATGACCTTCACACCCCTTGTCAATGTCATATTTAAATTTTTAAATAAAATAGCATATTTTGCGTCGTCTATATTGATTCTTCGCAATGTTTTACGTAAAAAAAAGTTAACGCAATATTAAAAAGTCAACAGTTCGTGAAACATTTTAAATTGAAAAAGATAATTCGTACAAGTTTGAACTATTTTACGAATTATTGATTTCTTGGAATATCTCACGTGCTATGGATGTCATAAAAAAAAGTTTGAAGTATTTCACAAATTTTTTATCTTTTTTGACATGACTTAATATTTTTTCACGCGGAATAATTCAAAGAATAGATCAGTGTAAGAAATAATACATGTATGTTACTTCACTTATCAAAAAAGTACATTTATTTACCAAGTATGCATATTTTTACGAAACTATGCACTGTTTTTTATACATAGGTTCTTTGAAATATTTTTAGTAAAAATATATTTCAGTACAATTATCGTTATATTAAGCATCATTAATTATTGTGTCAACAATTTCAAATTTTTTATTTTTGTAAGAAATGTCTCATTTTCAACTTTGAAATATCTTACGTACTATTGATTTCTTGGGTATTATAATTTAATACTTTTATATGCAAAATATTTTGAAAAATCGGTTCGTATAAAAAAGATATAATATCCAATTTAAAAATTTTAATTTGACCTTCATACATTTTTCAAGGTCAACAAAAAATGAAACAAATCCGTATAGGTATCATATGTGTTCTCTGATACCTTACATATTTTTGCTTGTCGTCTATAATTTTCAAGGCACTTATGGAATTCTAGATGTATCACATACATTGTGTACAGTGTGTTTTCGAAATGGTGGTACAATCGAAAGGAAGGTGAATTCACATGAAAAAATGAGGCCAAAGTGTAGAATACAATTTTCTCATATGTCACTTCATTTTCGACAAAATTGAGATTGAACAGTTTCGAAGCATTAATAAAAAAGATTTGTTCACGGCACATAAAATGATAGGTACAACAACTTTTCATTACTTTGAGAATTAATGAATGTTATTAAACAAATAAATCTAATTATTAATACTATTAAAATTCGTTATCAGTGATTTTTCGTAAGATTATTGACGTAAACGCTGATGTTTAGTACGATGAATTTAGTCGATGATAAGAACACATAAGTAACAAACCTAATAAAATAATATAAAGTAATAAATCTATTTTAGCGATATTAATAGTATGTCTATCGATCTAAAATATTTGTTTACTATAGGCTTAAGAAACAATTTATTGATTTTATCATTTTCTACTCCGTGAACAAACATTTTTACAAATACTTACAAAATGTCCAAATTCAATTTTCTTGAAAATAATGCTATATACGAACAAATTTTATTCCACATTTTTTACTTAATTTTTCAAGTTGATTCACCCATTTTTGGGTTCTACCACTGTCTCGATACGACCAGCATATGTATAAGTATTGTAGTTAGTGGTTTAGATACCATCTATGGTGAGTACGCACGTTACTACATCTCGCAAACATCTGTTGTGATTCTACGAACGCCCACACTAATCTTCACTTGTTAAGCGTAGAGAGAGACAGCAGAATTTCTCTATTTATAGCGCGTGAACATTTAGATAGTAAATTATTTTAGCAAAGAAAGTGTATTTGTTTTTTCATTTTGTTTTGTTTATGAATAAAGACGAATTTTATTATTATAATTTTTATTTCCTTTTCCTCATTTACTGGTATTTAAAATTGGATATCTTTTACTAGTTTTCTTTTCACAATTATAAAAAATGGTTAGTATGTGTCTGATGAAGTACAATGTCTAGCAACAAATTGAATACTAAAGATAGTTTTTAGTACTAAAAGCTATCTATAAGATAGCATTAAAATTTCTGTTACTGTGATTTTGTTTTGAGCACAATTATTTGAAGTTGTCAGTTATTTTTAGGTCTGTTTGTTTTATAGTTTATTTACTTTTTTTGTTGTAATTTTGTTGTAATATTTATAATAAATAATTAATTATTATATTGTCAGTTATTTGAAGGTCCTAGAATTATGTTCTATTGAAATTTTAATTACTATTAATTAATAATTAACGATAAGATCACATGGTCTTGATTTCGTTCAAATTTTACAGAAAAAAAACTTTTAAACTTAAAAAAAATAATCAAAAGTAATCAAAATGAAGAGTAATTTCAAAACTAAATACATTGCAAATATCTCCTAAATCAGAGAAAAATTTACTTTTGAAGGTTTAGAAATTTCTGTTTAAATATTTCTGTTTATATATTAATACAAAAAGCAGTTCCAAATCAAATGTGATCACTGATAACCTAAAGAGGTGCATGTGACTTAAACATTCAATTAAAAAAAAAATTTATCTAGTTTTATGAGAAGGTGTGAAGTTTATTAAATTCAAGACTCAGCAAATGTATTTTTTCATTACATATTTTTACGCAAAACGTTCTAAAGCATTAATCTAATAAAAGAAGTTGTACCATCGCATTAAAATATTTTAATATGACTTTCAAGATCACATTATTGATTTGACTTTGAAATAGTATATTTCCTTAAATGTTGTAATACACTGGAATGCTCTCTAAACATTTTTCCATCTTACTTTTTCACGTTATATAACACTTTTGTTCTAACTTCTCCCGTAATTATTGATAAGTGTAGAATAGTAATTATACATTCATACTATCTTGTATGAATCTTAAAAGGCTGTGTCGACAAGTGCTACGGAATGGAGTGCCACTTAAAAAGTCCGTAAAATTGCTACTACATTAAGCCTCGTCAAATGTTATTTAATTCTATTCGATATATTTTCCATAATCAGCCATTTGAATGATTCAGCTTGTTTCAGCGTAGAATATTTTATATTGAAGGAAAAGCTTCGAAGTATTAAAAAATCGAATTTAAATCAGCCTTGACATAAAATTAAATATAAATATCAAACAATCGTAGTCTTGTTTTAACTTCTTGCTATGCGAGTCTAATTCGTGACGTACTCACACTTCAATTTCAAGTTTAGGTCCAATCATAGTCTGCTGAATGTAAAATAGGCATAACATTTTCACTATCTTTACTCGTTTCAATGTTGCAAATGTGAAAGCTAGTTTTAACTGACGCACCTGAAAAATCGTATGGCAGGGATTAATTTTTGCAATAAGTTAAGAAAGTATGTAGATGATACAGAAACTTATAATTTAATAATAATTTAAACATATATTATTTGAGGTATACACATTACTTTTTCAGGAACTTGTATAAGAAGATTCGTCGAAAATTAGTATTTCATTTCTTTAATAATTGGTGTCACGTATTCGGAATTCGAACATTTTATATTTTAAATCAGTAATTACTTAATACCTCATTTTTACCTACTGCAAAAACAATGTAAAGTTTAAAAATTAATTATTTTTTAGAGTATATGAATAACAACTGTGACATGAGATTTTTTCCGTATAAATAAAAGAAACTCTGGCTTTTTATTCTGATTGCAAATGAATCGATAAATTAAAGAATAGTAAAACTCTAAAATTAGCTACTTTCAAGTAAGAATTTCAGAATTAAGTATAAAATTCCAAAAAAAATTGCATATTGGAATAAATATCAAGATAGAAGATATTTATTTTCGGTTTCATATACCAAGAGATCTGAATTAAATTTAAAACTAATGAAACGTAAAGAACAATCAATATTTCTACTAAATTATGAAGATCCTCTTTTTAAGCTAGTCAAACTGCTGTCGAGTTATATGTAAAAAAAAATAGCTATGCAAGGTTTGCCTATGTTCGACTGTCCAAAGGTTGACATGTTCAAGAAAATCTTTTAATTTTGCGCCGCCTCCGAAAAGGTTGAAATGTATTTAATATACTACCTAACGAGTAAATAGGTTTCATTCATATCTGTTGCGTAATTGTATGATTGAATGAAATAGAAATTTCTTCATTAGGAAATAGAAATTATTTTATACTTTTTAGTGCATTTCGAAGTCGGCGTATTTTTTTTCTTAAAATTATTTTTGGGTCACTATGTTCTAATTCGAATCAGTAACGTTTGCATCGGACGTAACATAAATAGAGAAAAATAGCTGTGTATATCTTAATCATAGATCTGAACCATAATTCCATAATTCTAGATCATAATCTCAAATTAACTAGAGTTAATTTATAATACTTTTATAAATTCCTGAATAATAAGTGTATCGTGTATACTTGTTCAGTTTTTGATAATACAGTGCAAACGGTAAATCATAGGCTGTCAAAAGAGTCCTGACCTTTTCCACTTTACTAGAGTCTAAATGATGTCTAATAAAAATCTGTGAGATTTTTCTGCTATAGCCTGTTCTGAAAATTTCTATGGAGACTTTTGAAATATTACGATATTTCCTACTCTGTACACTTATCCTGTATTCTTAATAATTATTATACAATTTGTAAAAGTAAAAAAAAACTTTTAAAAACGTGACAATATTTTCTGCAATACAAAAAAGCTTTTATTTTAAGCGTGTTTTCAATTTTGTTCTAATTTAAACTTAAATACCTAGTGTTATTTTCTAATGATAATTATAAGGACTTATATCTGAAATATAAGAACTAATCATAATTTATTTTATTGTATATTTATTACAATAAGATATTGTATATTTAATTATTATATTTTATATAGAATCTATAATATATATTTTATATACGACATATTTGATGAAACATTAATAACAATATATATGTTCATTAATTTCTAGAGTGCCACGACGACGTCGTCAAAATAATCAAATTATGTGCACGCTACGGAGCAGTTTGTATTCCATTTGGAGGCGGAACAAGCGTCAGCGGTGCAGCTTCTTGCCCATCCAACGAACGGCGAACGATAATATTACTGGACACGTTACAGATGAACAGAATATTATGGATAGACAGAGAAAATCTAGTCGCCTGCTGTGAGAGTGGTATTATCGGTCAGGATCTTGAAAGGCAACTCCGACTGCAAGGTCTGACTTCTGGTCACGAACCTGATTCTTACGAATTTTCTAGGTACACGATATTGCATTAAGAGAGAAAAATATTAGTTGTTTCCTTAATCCTAGAATGCAAATATTTTTCATACATTTTATATAAAAATGATTTTACACGTATAATTTTGTATATTTACATTTTTGAGAAATAAGTGGTCTATATTGATATTTATGAAACATTGATATGACATAGTACTTGACAAATTTTTCTTATCGGATGTTTGTGATAGAGTGGAAATAATCCTTAGCACAGTAACTGCAATATGAAGCATATACCCGCGAAATCCGTATTCCCAGACATAATAAAGAGGAGTTGTAGTGGATTGCGGTGAAGTAATAGGGTAACTAACTATAAATACGGAGACACGAATTCTCGAATCTATTTTTCGCAGATTCCTGCATAGCGAGTGAGCACAAAAGTTTTTATGAGTTCGTAATATGATTAACTATTCCGTGAAAATGGTAAACGATCTTGCTGAAATATTATATGTCGTTTAAAAGGTAGGTAGTCGGTTGTTATTGACTAAAATCAATAAACTGTTTTGTGTTAAAAGCTGAAAATGAATATTGACAGACAGATACTAGCAGGTGATAATACGTAAGTTCCAAAAAACAATTTGGTTGAAAAACCAAATTTTACAAATACTATGAAAAACTATTAAAACCTGCTTCAAGAGACTACTGTAGTGTAGTAATGTAGTTTATGTAAATCCTCAAATTTTTACTAGAATATTGTCAATAATTGGAGAAATTGAAAGAAAATAATTGAAGCAACACGTCCAATTATCAGTTGCAAGCGTGTTTTATTACACTCTACCTAGACGTAGAAATTGAATTCAATAATTTTAATGCATTATTGATTTAATAAATAAATTGTATCGCATTAAAGAGTAAAGTGTAATTACTCCCGGTACATCCATAAAAAGTTAAGACATATACCACAGGATTGTTTCTCTATTTTTATTCAAAAAAGAGCAGTGACGTGTCCCACTTTCCAAAATTATCCTGAATAAAAAATAGTGAAAGCACTATGCAAAATTTACTTCTGCTTATTGATACTTTAAAGCAAATTTTGAACCAATCTGTTAAACATTATTTAAGCGTAAATGACTTGAGTAAAAGTTACGTTACTTAAGCGGATTACTGTTGCACGATTTTACTAGGTATGTTAATTTTTACCGTTTCAGAATTAACATCTTTAATAGTATTGATACATATGTATGATGCGATTTGAGAATCCAACGGCATAAATACGTAACAGCCTAAATGTTTAGTTTGCGAACGAATGAAATCTGTTCTAAACTTAATAACCCAACTTGTGAACGGTTTGACACAATTTAAGGTACATTTAATACATTTCATGTGTATAAGTGAAAATTTCCAGTTTATCACCGCAATATTAAACGATTCAGCAACGCAGAGTGGTAATTACGTACAATATCGTAAAAGTTTATAGGTTTCTGAAGTATGTGAGTATCCAAGGAGAAAATTAATCTTTAGATAAAATCAGGAATTTTCTTCTCGTAATATTCATTTCAAATTATGGTTCAGTTGTATAAAGCTTCATCAAAATCAATGAATTTAACTGTTAACTATTTTTGAAAGAAAAAATAATTTTTGCAGTAGAGTGAACATTCAATATCTGCAAAAATCACCTACACGATATGTGCAAAATATTTATCCCCGCTACTGGGGGATCCCTCTAGATGCCACGAAGCTTTAGCGTCGAGGAGTATAACGTGAGTCTGGTTGTGTATATCCATGAGACAATACCAATGAAAATGTAAAACTTTCCTATTATTGCTTCTTTTTACATAAAACTTTCACCAACATATTTGTAACACTTTCCTGATAAAAATGATACCAAACACGATATAACTTGAACTATATTTACTGGTTTAATTGATTCTAAAAGTTTCTAACGCCGAGGAGGATAGCAAATGAAAAAGAGAGACGCTGCGATCGTGGCAGTTGGCAAAGATCAAAAGTCTGTTCAATTATTTACAATGCTAATGCGTTTCCAACTTTTTTATTTTTCATCCATCATTTTTCTTAAATAAAACTTTCACCAACATATTTGTGATATTTTTCTGATTAAAATGAGACCAAACACGACGTAATTTGAGTTATATTTTCTTGCAGTAGCTTATTGTAGTAAAGTCATCGATGCACGCCCGACATTTGAAATTACAAATAAATATGTCCCGAATTACGCCGTGTTTGGTCTCATTTTAATCAGAAAAATATCACAAATATGTTGGTGAAAGTTTTATTTAAGAAAAATGAAAAATAAACAAATTTTATTCTTACATTAGGATTGCCCAATCGATATGTTATTGTTTCTTTACGTTTGGTATACTTCACTCGCTGTCCTTTTTTACGTTCGGCAAAACATCAATAAATGTAGGACCTGTACGGTATGTGCAACAGTTCAAACCTGAGAGATTTGCAGATATCGAATATTTGCAGCATTCAATATCATTTTCTACTGTAACACGTTGATTGCCACCTCATTCGTGCATAAGTATCATTTGAAATTCCATATGAATCCATCATCTATTATTAGAAGTTCTTTCACTTGCTTTGTAATACTCGTATTAAGTTCTTGAAATTACGGATGACAGAAATAAAACATTGTGAAAGTAATAGATAGCATTTGCTATACTTAAAAATACTGTTTAATGAAACTATTAACAAAGAAACTAGTATCACGTCTTTCACATTAATAACTTTAATATGACGGTCAATATACAGGGTGCGGATAATAATAATGACGCAAATCTACAGGGTGCGGCGCCAAAATCCGGACAAAATTTAATTTAAATTTCTTGCCGTCATATACTTATTCCAAAGTTCGCGATTGGCATCCAAATAACTTGAAATATGTATTAAACAGTCTAACCCTCATAATAGTCGCAATGTCCAAACCAAGCGCAGGATATAACCGAAGGGCCGCAGTTATCGAAAGCATTCGCGCTGACCGGACAGCAACAGTAATCATTCATTACTTCGGGTACCCGAAATCGACTGTATACGATGTGATCAAGAAATATGAGTCGGAAAAATGAAACGAAGGTGTTGCAACACTATTCAGGAAGGCTTACTCAAAGGAGCGTATTGTCAGAACACCCGACATCGTTCAACGTGTTCAGGAATTCTGACATTCTAATAGCCCAGATTTAAATCCTTTAGATTATTATGTATGGAGCGTTGTTGAAGGGGTCACCAACAAATCCAGACATCCAAACATAGAATCATTGAAAGCCGTTATCAAGGCAACATTCGCCAATATGGATCGTGAGGCACTAAAACGGGCCTACAAGCGCTTCAAACCAAAATTGGAAGCAGTCATTCAAGCGGAGGGAGGATATATCGAATAAAATGGTTCTTTATACCCTTATTAACAATGTAGTAAAAAAAGAAGTTACAAATATTTCCGTTTTCTCAATAAAAATTATGTTTGAAAGTAGTTCTTCATTTGTCCGGATTTTGGCGCCGCACCCTGTACATGTTAACTTCAATAGTTACTTTCGTATAATCCATATTAATCTCGATTGATAATAAAAAAAACTATCAATAGCATTAATGTAGTAGTCAATGTCTCTGCTTTAATAGCTACTTTTATTTTATCAAAATTAATGTCGATTGACAATAAAATATATTACACACATGGTTTTTCGAGTACTACGTCATATCAAATTCATTGTAATCAAGAGTGACCACTTAATTTATTCTCGTTAGTGCAACACTCAAATTTCAAATCAACATATTTATTAACTACACTTTTTAAAAACCATTATATAAAAGAACATCAATCCATTTTTGATGCTATACAGATAATTAACGCTACAAAATACAGTAAACACGACATACAAAAGTATTCTTTTGGAACATAACAAATGATATTTCGTAAATGATACACTTTTTTTTAATATAATCTTTAAGTACTTCATGAATCAATATTTAGTAGCTTTTATCATTGTCAATGGATTTCTCGTTGCAGTTTTTAAAATCATTTTGTATTTATTAATTTGTTGTATTATTAGTTATATTTCTTGCAAGTAATATTTATTTATCTTTTCAAAATAATTACGTTAATTTTTAAATTAAAAATAATTACATTAATCTTTTTAGAACTCATATTCTACACATTATAAAGAAATGATAATAACTATATAGGGTAAACTCTGGTAAGTCTGTGATAATTTCATAATTTTTCGATGGAATACTAATATTGAGTCCTATAAATAATTTTATTCGTATGTACATATATTAAATACAATTAGTTTCTAGTGCATTTTAGATAACCTGTTAAACTATGCAGTCCAATTTTTGGGCTGATTCTTAAACAATTGACACAAGATTTTTTTAAATGTTAGCGTGTAAAACGTTTCTACACTGGCTTGCACTAGATTCATTTTTAAGACTACAGTTTTTTTACACATTAACCATTTTTAAGACTGCGTTACATTAATAATTTTTATGTAAACTGAAATATCCTTTTAAGTGCTACAAGGAAATAATTTTGTTTGTTAACCTTGAACAATTATTTTTTATTATATTAGTGTTAGACATTCCTAGTAACTGCAACATCCAATCTACACTAGTCAACTCTTGATATGATATTATTTGAACATTTTTATTTTTAGTAACATTGAGTACTAAACAAATAAGTATGAACGTGAACCTAAAAGTATTATTATCTTAAATTTATTTTTTAGAAAATTCGCATTATTTATGGGGTGACTTGATATTTACATGTTTTAAAAGTGAGTCAAGTATGTAAAGATAAATTAAGAACCATACATATAAAATCAATAGGATATTTTTTTTTACTTAATAGTATATCTTAATAGTATAGGATATTTTTTTTATATTTGATTTTAAAAATACGAATGAAAATCGAGTTTTTATGAAACGATTTGGTTAGTCCGTGGTAGTTCCTTTTAGTTCGTGAGACAGTTATCAGTGACTTGTTTAGTATTGTTTACATTATTGTTAAGCCATCACTTTATATCATATTTATATTATGATAATATACAGTAATCTAATCGTATTACATTACGACATTTGCGACATGATGCTAATACACCAGAAAACATATTATTACTCGAAGATAAAAAATAGATTTATGTGTAATTAATAATTTCATTGTAGATTCTGAGCCATGAGAAAGCATTATTTTTGATATTATTATTTTTTCTATTACCGAATATTGACTCTTGTTTTACGCCACAACGTTTAACGCTTCGAGTATGTGTGCCACTATTTAAATCGATGAAGTTCATCCTATGATTCAGTTCAATATTTACATCCTTCTTCTCTGATGCAATCGTAAGACTTCCATTGATCCAATATCTGAAGAACCTGGTTTAATCCGTTTTTTAATTACACAAAGTGAAGTCTTGGATCTATTGGAAATTGGTTCACTGAAGAAACGTTTGCTTGTTCATTTAGCTCAATTGACTGAATTGAATTTGCTAAAAAATCCGTTCTCCACTAACACGACATCTTTTATTATATTTACATTCTTCAATTTTTATGTAATCAATTTCAGCTATTATATTTTCTCCTCCAACTTGGATTGTGAGATTTTTTCTATTTATAAAACACGACACTCGGTGAAAACTTCTGTAACCAAATGTCTTTTATGATAGGCTAAATTCATTTTCTTCAAAAAATTCATTGATATTCAACAAAACGACAACTACTTTGAACACGACGGTGCAATTCAAATTAAGATCAAATTAAGAATTTTCGAATGCACTATAATTTTGAACAACGTGGAAATATTAAGTTCTCTAGGTTCAATTTCATTTCTTTTCCGCACTTAATACAATTTGTCACAGTAGATCACTTTTCGTGCAATTAGAAATCGATTAATTCTTTATAATCATTACATGTATTCAAAAATTTATATAACTTCATTTTATGTACCTTTAAAGGATGCGTGAAATACTTTACCTGTAGTTGCTTACAAAGTATCCTGTAATGCTTGGATCATAGTATTTATATTAGTTTAATTTTGTACAAACAAGACATTACTCTGTGAAAAGTTAGTTTAATAAAATATTAATCTAATCTGACCTAACTTAATCGATAAATGAATAATGTAATTATTATTGAATTAAGTTAGGTTAGATAGATGAAGTATAACTGCAACTTGAAACTTAATTAAAATTTGTTACATCTCAAAAACGAAGGCTGAGCGACAGTGAGAGGAAAGTTGTTCAGAATAGCAACCTTGACAACATTTTGCAATGTAATCGAAATCAGTGAGAAATCTCTCAAGTAAATAATTGTCCTCGCTGATTTCAGTGGTCTTGATGTTACGAAGGTCAGTTTCCTGAATAATTTTATTTATGCATACAAAGTGAGGCATGTGAAGTAAATCAGCAATATAATCAGAAGTATTCACGATATAAAAATGCTGTAAAGAAAATGTAACAAAGTATTTTCGAAATCATAAGACTATTCTAAGTCATACACATATTGTTCTAAGGCATAGTTTTTACATAAGGTAAAGTGAGGTAATTTCGTAAACGGGGCAAGTGCATATACAGGCTACTTTTATTACAATATGAGCGAAATGTCTCCATTTAGTATGTTTGTTTCCTTGTTTTGTTTCACTATATTCCCTCTTATGTTTCAGCTAAGAGTACTTGTTTGCAGTATAGAGTACTTGCATAATACAGTAAAAAGCATTTTATAGCAGATTTGTTAATAATTCTGCTCTTGGCCCATTGCACATGAAACAAAATTTCAAAGTATTTAACTTCAAGTTATGCTCTTACCCCATTTTCGGGGAAAGTGCAGAGTAGTTGACATTTTAAACAATTTCCTATCAAAATCAAAATGTACAAGGAAAATTAAGGTCCTAGTTAATATTAATTAAATAGTAGTAATTGTGCAAAGCGTTCGATATCGACAGCGTTAAGTATTTACATAGCAGATTGAAAATACCTTACTTGTCTAATCTTCTATTCCATTTTTTAAAACATTGTTTAAATTATTCTTTTGTCATGTTTGACAGCGAATCCGTCGTTTTTTCTTCACCTCAACAACATTAGTAAAATGCTTTCCTTTCATGTCTCTGACAATTCTTAACCAAAAATGGTATGACCCCTATACGTCGCCTATTCTTATCCGACCTTACCCCGTGCAAGTTTTTCTTGTTTCCTCGAATGAAAAGAGACACAAAAGGGAAGCGTTTTGCTGATGTTGCTGAAGCAAAGAAAAAACGTCGAGGACGCTGGCAAGCATCACAAAAGGTGAATTTAAACAATGTTTTAAAAAATGGAATAAAAGATTGGACAAATGTATTAATGCAAATGAAAAGTACTTCGAAGGGAATGGAAAGTTTGTGCTTAAAATTTGAATAAATAAATTCGGATTCTTTTAGGTATCCTCTCGTATATTCTTTTTCATGTCATATAATAATTCTTGAAGTATCGCGATTTGTCACAGTTAGGCGTGGACACTCACTATGGCAAGATGTCACAGAATAACTAATATTGCGTATACCATACAAGATGTCTCTCGATATGGGAGCTAGAGAAATATACACAGCCCCACTCTTTAATTCCATACGAACTTTATTAACAAATATGGTGCTTTGCATTTCTTCGTGATGCTTCTAATACACTACAACCCAAAAATACGTATGTTCTCTCTACATTATCATCCTACATTGCAGGGACTTCTCACCGCATAGTACATATCACGGACTAAACAGAGTTTACTTTATATTTCATGTTACAAGTTAATCCATTGCCAGTGACATAATTGTTTGTATTTGTTGAAAGAACAGTTTAGGTGGATGGGTTGCAACAAGGGCGAGTGGGATGAAAAAAAATCGATATGGAAACATCGAAGATTTAGTTGTGCGAGTCAGAATGGTCACCGGTAGGATAGATGACCCGGAAATCACGTTGGAGAGAAGTTTACTGGTTCCGCGAGCTTCTTGCGGACCTGACTTCGATCATATGATACTCGGTAGTGAAGGTACATTGGGTGTCGTCACAGAAGTTGTGTTGAAGATCAGGCCAATACCAAAAGTAGTCAAATACGGTAGCATAGTTTTCCCAAATTTTCTAACTGGAGTGTCGGCGTTACGTCAGGTAAATCTTATTGAAATGTTATAACATCAAATATATTTTATATGTACACAGAATTATTACAGATGAAACTTAGTTTCCTTAATTAACTTTGCTAATTTTTTAAATGTGATTTGCTAAAATAACTTATACCTTATAACTTTATTAAAATAACTCATTTATTTGTACTTATATTTAAATCTACTTAAGAATACAGGGTGTCTCCTGAAATCTTGGAAACACATCTACTTACAGAAAATTTGCAACTACAAATAATATTCTACACTGAATCATAAAGAACTGTTACATTTTTTTGCTATCAACTATCATTTAACAGTTGTTTTACAGCAAAAATTTATAGACATCCTATATAATACTGTTTCTCATTTTTGCTTCATTTTTTAAACACGAGTTTTAATCAAATGAGAAAAATCATTGCAGATATTTTTTATTAAAAATTGTATCATTTTTATTTTATTGCAAATAGATAGCCAAGGAACGACGTCAGCCTGCTAGCATACGTCTGATGGACAATGAGCAATTCCAGTTTGGCCAAGCGTTACGACCAGAACCTGGCTGGGGCGGTTTAATTTTACAAGGATTGAAACAAGCTTACATTACAAGGATAAAACGTTTTAAATGGGACCAAATATGTGTTGCTACACTTCTTTTCGAAGGTAGCACAACTGCAGATGTAGCGATACAAGAAAAAAACGTTTATAATATTGCCAAACAGTACAATGGTGTTCCAGCAGGAGAAACAAACGGTGAACGAGGATACGTTTTAACATTTGTTATAGCCTATATTCGAGACTTGGGTTTAAATTATTCTGTTTTGGCTGAATCGTTTGAGACCTCCGTCACTTGGAATCGTGCAGTTTCATTGTGTAGAAATGTGAAATCACGCGTAGCTAGAGAGTGTTACGCGCATGGTGTGAAACGGTACTTGATTTCTTGTCGTATCACGCAAACTTACGACTCTGGTTGTTGTGTGTACTTTTATATGGCGTTCAATTATAAGGACCTGTCGGATCCTGTTGAAGTGTACGAGCGTATTGAACACAAGGCGCGTGAAGAAATTCTTGCTAATGGTGGTTCTTTGTCTCATCATCATGGTGTAGGCAAGTTACGTTCCTGTTTTTATCCGGATGTCGTAGGGGAAATAGGAGTGTCCCTTTATCGAGCAGCCAAAGCACACTTGGATCCACATAATATATTTGCAGCCGGAAACTTGGATCCTCAATGTGTATCAAAATTATAAATTTAATGCCAACAAAATATTGTAATAATTTAGAACTTATTTCACCGGGAATCTTTTAAGTTGAAAAAATTACTTCTATTGAGGGAACACTGTTAGTAAATAACAGTAATGATAGACATTGTCATTTTACTAATTTGTTGTGATGATATAAAAATAGCGGTAAAGGAAGAGACTAGTATAATATGTATAAATAAATATGAACCATGGTGTCGTTTGGTACAAATACGGAATTGTAATTGTATCAGCATTTTTATAAGTTATTATAAATAAACAAGACTCGCTTACTTATAGTACTTAATTAATATTATCCATAACTTATTTATCCGAGTTTCTTCTTTGTAAGTAATTCGTATATCTTTTGTTCTTCTTTAATGAAAAGAATGTTCGTTACTTTCAGTTCATGAAATTAAAAGAATTAATCATTTCCTTTATCAGTTCTGATCTTCGTACGTTCATTTAATAACGTAATCAGTTTTTACATACGTATTAATTCTGCTAAATCATTATGTATTTGATTATACTGATGAGTAAAATGATAAGCTCACTGGTTTTCAGACTTTAGAGAGGACAGAAATGAATCAAAATCATATTCGTCGTCGTATTGTTGTTGTTCCCATAATTCAGGAAGAATTTCTAGAACAGAACGACTAACACCTGGAACACCGGTAATTTTAGATACGGCATCTTCTTGTGATTCTGGCCTTTTTCCTTTACTGTTGTCCAACGAAAACAAATCTAGTAACTGTAAAAAATTATTGTGAACAGAATGTTATTATAAATTTTACTGATAATTTAAGTACATTTTTGGAACGAGTAAAAAATTGGCAGACTATTTTAAAGGTCTCATCAGACATAAAACATTAATTTTAATTTTAACATAATTACGTATAGAATTAAGAAAAAAATATAAGTACAAACGTTATATCACAAATGAATTTAGTGAAAAAGAATGTTATGATTATATCATTCTTTTTCAATAACTTTATCGATAACTTCAATACTTTTGTATTATGTTGTTTCATTATTATTTATATTTACATGTGAGATTTTATGTCTCAAATACGCTGTCAGTTTTTTACATTTATTCGCTGTACAATTCTTCAGATATCGTACCTGATCAGTTGCCATTGTTTCCAAAGATGCGTTCTCGGTCGAAATAACAGTATTTGCAGTAAGAAGCTTGAACTTTTGAAGTCCCATAATTTTCTCTTCCACTGTTGATCTTGTGATTAACCGATATACGTTAACTACTTTCTTCTGTCCAATGCGATGTGCTCGGTCCATCGCTTGCAGATCTTTCATAGGATTCCAATCATGTTCTACAAATATAACTGTATCTGCACCAGTCAGATTTAAACCAAGACCACCAACTTGAGTTGTTAACAATAACACATCTATCGACGGATCAGCGTTGAAACGTGCCACTACGGAATGCCTTTGTGTCGCGGGTATACTTCCATCAAGTCGAAGATATGTGACTGTTGGTAGATGTGTACGCAACAAATCTTTTTCTACGATATCTAACATTGCTTTCAATTGACAAAAGATCAACGCTCTATGTTGGCTCACTAATTGTTGCTGTTGTGGTGGTTGATTATCTTGAGTAGTGCCAGCAGCCACGGAATTACGACTTTGTTGTTGCTGCGGCTGACCGATACCACAATCTAATAACAATTGTTTCAATGCAGGTAATTTAGCTCCATGTTCTATGTCCGCTAAAGTACTCTTTTGCTGTTTTAATGTATTGCATATCTAAAAATAAATATCATTAAATTAATATCACAAGTATATAATTATAATATACGTGTCTGTATTATGGATACTAACATTTTGATACAATGGATGTCGTGGATTTAGTACTAATTTAGGATGATTACAAACATTACGTAGATAACGCAATGCTTCGAACACGTGACCACCATGCGGATCATTCGAAGCCGAAGTACACGATACAGTCGACAATAGAGTAGCAGAATGACGAGTACGAAAATCTTCGTACAACGTTCGTTGTAACGGTGATAAATCACAATAGTAGTCTTGTGTGATTTTAGGCGGTAAGTCTTGAAGAACATCCTCTTTATTTCGCCTAAGTAAAAATGGCAAAACCTGACAGAATAAATTATAGTGTAAGATATACTGTATTATTAAATTTGTAAGAATTTATTTATAACTGAAACAGCGGCTGTTTTTTGCTAATAAAGTTAAAAAACAAAAGAGAAAAACATATAGAAAAAAAGATTACCTGTCTATGAAGTGCCTCCATAGCTAACGCCCCTGCTTCTTGTTCTTTTGGTCCAGCTTTTGGTTCTCTACAAGCTAAAATAGGACGTGAATACTTTGCCGCAAATTGCTTTTCAGTGCCCAGGAAACCTGGCATTAAAAAGTCAAATAACGACCACAATTCGAGCACGTCATTCTGCACAGGCGTGCCTGAGAGTATAAGTCTGTGATTGGCATGCAATCGTTTTGTCGCTTTCGCACTTTTCGTTTTTCCATTTTTTATGACATGACCTTCATCAAGTACACAATAATTCCATTGACGAGTTTCAAAATAATCGATATCTTTACGTACTATATCATAACTCGCAACGATGAGTCTATGATGAGCGACTTTTGGTCGTAATTTTTCTCGTTCAGGCGGGGTGCCGGCATATTGTAACACCGAAAGATCTTTGGTTTTAAAGAATTTGTCAGCTTCGTATACCCAGTGACCAGTTAAAGTCGGTGGACACACTACCAAACTTGGTGGAGCATGAGGATTACGATGATGATCTAACGCTAATATACAAAGAGTTTGCAACGTTTTTCCAAGACCCATATCATCACACAGAACACCATGGAGTCGATAGCAATTTAAAAAATTTAACCAATTTAAGCCTTGACGCTGATAAGAACGCAGTTCTGCAGCTACAGGAATTGGTAATTCAGTATCTGGAATACTGCGTGGATTCAAAAGTTGTTCTAGAAACCGCCGCTCTTGAGCTTTTTTCTCTCTAAAATATGATTAAAATTTTTATTACATTAATTGATTGTGTCCTAACTATGTTATAACTATTTAAAGAATAGTGCCAACGATACAATATATAGAATGCTGATTATATAAGAATTAAATAATTGAAGAAAATTATAAAATTTTTGACATTTTCACACCTTAAGATATATTTTCATTAAACATAGCAATGCCTTGATAATTGCTTGCCACTATTCCTCACTGATCGTTGTAATTCACTTTGTCAAAATCTAGCATTTTGTATTTAAAAGAAACAAATGGGTGATTGTTTATACTGCCGCTTCTTGAGAACTGTTTGTGATTCATATACATCAGAGAAAAAGCATATACTCATGATTTTTTGGAATAGCTATTTTTCTTATCGCTTGAGCGAATGTGGCCAGGAGCAGTAAGCAATTTTCAAGGCATTACTATATACATCATACTACTAAGTACCTGTAAACATTGAAAACACATATATACATACACAATATGTTAAAAAAATGTCCAGATTGATACAAAGAAAAAACGAATTCTGCAGATAAATGAATTTCCTTATTAAATTTGCAATATGCATTTTTTGTCTTGCTATATACTCAGTGTAATACTTATAGAATTATTGGAAGTCTTTAGAAAGCTCTTTGGGGAAATCGCATTAAAATTTTTTGTCACGGTGCATTAAATTGTCTCCGCGTCGTCATAGCGAGCCATATCCGTTACCAATTTTATTTTGAGAAAAAAAAAAAAATATGCTCAGACAGTAAATCTGAAGGTTACTGTGAGTAGATAATGGTCACTATTTTTGTTCACCAGAAATTAAAGGCCACGACTGACGAGTACGAGTGCGCGTTATCACAAAGAGGAAATCATTCATTGAACAGTGAAGCTCAAGCTAATTCGCTAAAATTATTTAAAAAGTCTATTTACGGCATTTTAATAAAACTCATTGAAACAATGGATTTTCAGTAGAAAATATACACGTTCAATAGTCGTTTTAACGATTTATATGCGCCGATTCCTTTTCTCTGTTCATTTTCAAACAACTGATAACCTTTAAATTGTTTATATGTATTAAAGAAATACTACTAACATAACAACGTCCATACGGTCTTTAATACTTTTTCAAATATTTGATGTTGTTTACTCTTTTATATTGATTTTTATATTCTTGTGGCACTTCTTCTACTTCTAAAATAAAATTAAATTGTGCTACTTCATCCTTGAAATTGTAACTATGCAAAAAGCAAGTAATCTTCCAATGTGTACTGTACAGACACCACTGTATCCATAGCAACAAATAAATCATATAAAATTGTGTAAGGTTAATACTACTTGCTGTAAACGTAGATAGAACTACCTTAAAAGTACTCTCTGGTACTCATTGGTACATTTAAAAAGAAAAGTTGGTCTGGAAACTTTTTGAACATACCGTGTACAAAGTAATAGCAAAATTCGCCACATGACGAAACCGATGTACATTAAATATATTTACTTCTAGAGTTACTTAAATCTTTGATACTTACACTAGATCTGGCGGGTCAGCAATTGCACCAGGATCCAGAGGTAAAAGTTGCACGAGTGTTGCAAATGTTGCACTGCAAGCTAATCTTACTGCCTGATTCTGATCACTCATACGCCCCAACAAAGGTACCATGAACAATACAGCATATGGAACTATATTAACACCTAAACTTTCGACAAGACATGCTAATGCTTCAGCTGCGCCTTGCCTTATCGAATCCACTTCACTTGGTGCAGTCACAGTTGTAGAATATAATTTTTCACCACCAGTAGCTTCTAAGAGTGGTATTACACTGCGTGTAACATGTACTATGGTCTGTAAAAAGATTTTTTGTAATATTTATACGTTATGAAATAAAATGGATAGTTGTTAAGAGAAATTCATTGATTTCATGTTTAATAAATTATCACCTTTTCTGTATCTAATGTAGCTAATACAGCGATACATCGTGATGCCATATGTCTAACAGCCTTATAAGGGTGGGCCAATAATTTACATAAACAGGAAAGACATTCCAAAGCAGGAGGTAGTAAAGCTTTATCAAGACTTGGAGCCATGATTTCTAAAACTTGTAAACCGAAAATGAGTTGATTTACTCCTTCTTGAGTATTTTCACGGCCAATGATTTTATCTTCTTCTCGTAATATACTTGGTAATATCAGCTCCCAAAGGTGTGGTAACCGTGTAGGTAATTGTGCACCGAAAAGAGTAGCTACAAATGGAAATATAAAAAGTTTATATGATGTAATTCTATTATATTAAAACTATATTTGACGCAAACCTATAGCAGTAAGTGCAAAAGTGGCGCCACGACGACGTGTTCGAGCAGCTTTAGCTTCAGGTTCTTCACAAGCAAGTAATTCTTCCAAAGGAATTTCAGTTGTCGGCGGTCGACCAGGTCCTCTTCCTCCACCAAGTCCACTACTTGCTCCTCGATTGTAAGCTACTCTTTCAGCATGTTTTTGTCTATTGCTTAAAGTAAGAATTCCATCAAATAGATCTGAGTCTGTATTGCAATTTACACGAGGTGTAAATTCAATATCCGAGCATAGGAATGTACATAAATTGGTCGATATCTATGATTTAAAGTGTATATCAAATTATTTGAAAAGAACATAACAACTAACTGTACGAACTATAATTATTTCATGCATACCTTTGCATTGGGAGAAGGTTTTCTATCTACACAAAGATCAACTAAGTATGACAAATGTTTTGCAGCTAACTTTTGTAATTCTTCATTTTCCTCGCGCTTTATAGCTTCCATTAACGGTTTTACTAATGGATTAAGAGGTTGTGGGGTCGGTGGAAGGCAATGTAACATCGTGGCAGCACCAGCTAATGCTGCCATTGACATGACATTATACGAAAGTTGTTGTGCTGCTGTGTCAGCAGCACCTGTTTCTAAAGCTTTCCGTCTTTCTTCCAAAAAATGGATAGTTGTTAAGAGAAATTCATTGATTTCATGTTTAATAAATTATCACCTTTTCTGTATCTAATGTAGCTAATACAGCGATACATCGTGATGCCATATGTCTAACAGCCTTATAAGGGTGGGCCAATAATTTACATAAACAGGAAAGACATTCCAAAGCAGGAGGTAGTAAAGCTTTATCAAGACTTGGAGCCATGATTTCTAAAACTTGTAAACCGAAAATGAGTTGATTTACTCCTTCTTGAGTATTTTCACGGCCAATGATTTTATCTTCTTCTCGTAATATACTTGGTAATATCAGCTCCCAAAGGTGTGGTAACCGTGTAGGTAATTGTGCACCGAAAAGAGTAGCTACAAATGGAAATATAAAAAGTTTATATGATGTAATTCTATTATATTAAAACTATATTTGACGCAAACCTATAGCAGTAAGTGCAAAAGTGGCGCCACGACGACGTGTTCGAGCAGCTTTAGCTTCAGGTTCTTCACAAGCAAGTAATTCTTCCAAAGGAATTTCAGTTGTCGGCGGTCGACCAGGTCCTCTTCCTCCACCAAGTCCACTACTTGCTCCTCGATTGTAAGCTACTCTTTCAGCATGTTTTTGTCTATTGCTTAAAGTAAGAATTCCATCAAATAGATCTGAGTCTGTATTGCAATTTACACGAGGTGTAAATTCAATATCCGAGCATAGGAATGTACATAAATTGGTCGATATCTATGATTTAAAGTGTATATCAAATTATTTGAAAAGAACATAACAACTAACTGTACGAACTATAATTATTTCATGCATACCTTTGCATTGGGAGAAGGTTTTCTATCTACACAAAGATCAACTAAGTATGACAAATGTTTTGCAGCTAACTTTTGTAATTCTTCATTTTCCTCGCGCTTTATAGCTTCCATTAACGGTTTTACTAATGGATTAAGAGGTTGTGGGGTCGGTGGAAGGCAATGTAACATCGTGGCAGCACCAGCTAATGCTGCCATTGACATGACATTATACGAAAGTTGTTGTGCTGCTGTGTCAGCAGCACCTGTTTCTAAAGCTTTCCGTCTTTCTTCCAAACTTTCTATTAGTTTCGGTTTTAGTTTAATTGTACTAGAATTCCCGCCAATATTTCCACCCGGTCCTCCGGAACCTGTGGCATTGCTCATGGCACAAAGCTCTGAAATCGGTTTTCCAGCAAGGCTTGCAATTTGATCAAGCGTCATTACTCCCGATGCATCTATCTCAATAGGAACAGGTAGTTTATAGTGTTTGAGAGTGGCAATGTAATCACGACTATCATGTAAAAGACGAGTGAAAGATGCGGCGATTTCGTCATAATATACGCATTCATTTAAACACCCCAACAGTCTGTCCCTTTTAAGAAAATACACGATTATTAGATTAAGTTTCACAAAAGCAGATAAAAAACAATTCATCTTTGTACCTTAAAATGTCTGGTATTGCAGGTGGTTTCATATTGTTTACGGTCGCCCAATGAGACATAGTTAAACCTACAACGGTGCGTTGTAATGCTGAGCGTGAATTAAGATGTGCCAATAATACTTTAGCATAGCAAATTGCAGGACTAGGTATGTCTGGTGTATAAGTAACACCCGGTGCCGGTTGTACTACATAATGTGATAACAATCCTAACATTCGTGAAGCTCTACAACGAGCCTGTACTACATTTGATTTTCTTATATTTTGAGCTACAGTCTCGATTCCACCTATGTAAACTTTCAGTTCAGACATTGATTTTCCATTTCCGCTTATAGTATTGTTCCCTCCGTTGTTACTAGTATCTGATTGTCCATCGCAAATACCAATAATTTGATTACTTTTTATTCCTTTATTAAGAGTACTTATTGTCATTAATAAGTTCGGATTAAATGGCACGTGTTCGGGTTGCATAGCAAGACAAAGCCATGTGCTAACGAGAGGACACGCTGCATGCAATAGTAGTTCGAGATCGCTCTGTACGACTAGATTTTCCCAAACACGTTCGGCTACGTCTTGTATGGCAGTCACATGTTCGATCAATACACGTTGAAACACATGACGAAGAGCTTCCTGTAATACCAATCCACCTCCTTCACCCCATCGTTCCTTTCTATTTTTATTATGAGCACCGTCATCTCCAGTTAATGTCTGTAATGTTTGCAAAGTGGCTTTTCGTACACTAGAACTAGAATGACTAAGAAATGGCCACAATCGCGGTAAAACCTGTAATTGTATACATTTTAAATAAAAAAAGAACAATTTATACTATCATAAGTTAGATTCATATAATTGTTACCTGTGACAATGGCTGAGGGGTAATGTAAGTGTGTGCTGTAGGTAATGAAAGTATAGCAGCGAGTAATCCCATAAAACTATTACATGCTGCTGCTAGATCATCTTGTTCACGTAGAAGTTCCCAAAGACGAATTACAATAGCCTCTAATTCTGCCGGTTTCAGTAAACGTGGAAGGGCGAATGCCACGGGTATAAGTGCACTAGCTGCAGCAGCACCTACATCGTCAACCGGATCAGAAAGACCTTGTATGATAGCTGGAAATACTCTTGGTAAAATGTCATCCAGTAGATCATCTCGTACAGCAAGTAAATATTTCAATGCAAGCAATGCGCCATGTCTTGCTTCCCATTCATCGTGTTCTAAAAGCTTTAGCATAACTGAAAGTATCCCTAAAATACCCTTATTTTCATTTTCATTATCTTTTTGATTTGGCACTAGTAATAGAAGAGAACCTAGTGCTTGAGCACATGTTTCTCGTACAGGTGCAACTACTTGATCAGAAACAAAATCTCCAAATCTATCAAGTCCTAAGACACATAATAATCGTAAAGCAGCATCAATAACCCATTGATAATGGCTTTCTTCCATTTCATTCATAGTCTGATCTCTTGATTTACCAGCACCTGCACCAAATTTTTATTGATATACAAATTTTTAATTGCTTATTGTTAATAATTTTGTTTAAAGTTTTGTATACCTTTTCCATGAAGTTTTACCAATTCTCTTAAAGCTGTTGCAGCTCCATGTCGCACTTCCCATTTTTGACTAAATAAATCTTGACAAAGGTTTTCTGCAAATGACTCTAAAGGCCAGTCGATTACAGAATCTGGCCAACAACCAGTACTATCTGGTACACTACTGGTTGATTCAGTCTGTGCATTGCAATTAACACCGATTTCTGATGAGATCACTTCCTCTAATTTTATTTTTTTACTGAATGGTTCTCCTGTGTTAATAGGAGATTGAGCATTTGAATTGTTATAATAATCTTCATTACTACGATGTTCATCTGGTTCTCGTGAACGTTGTTTTGAAACTGACTGTCGTGCCTATTTAGGTACGTGTTTTTATATTAAAACTTCTTTAATTTATAAATCAACGTAATAACAATATTCAAATTAAAAAGTGATATATTACTTTACGTCTGGCTCTATTCATTTCACGTCTACTAAGTCCACTCGGTTGTTTTAGCGTTTCACTCACAGATACTTTATTCTGTGTATTCGAGGTAGGCGGCGATACTACTGGTGTTAAGTCTTCAGCAGTAAATAGCTCTGATGTATCAACTCCCATTAATCGTGGATGGAGACCCAATTTAGCAGCAATAAGTTTTTCTTCCTGATTTGGAAGTGATACTTGTTCTCCATCAGCAGCAATCAGATCGTATTCACTACCTTCTGATCCAGTAAGATGTGAACTGCGAGCTAAGACTTTTTCCATATTAAAGTCTCCCAAATTTAATCTATTATTTGGTTTTTTCGTTTCACCATCATCTATTAATTAATATAGTTTATGCATGAACAACTGAGCATAAAGTTTTACATTTTTAAATAATACAAGGTATGAAATAATTACTTGTACATATTTCTTTTTTAATTGGTTGTGGATCCCAAGCAGGAACCTGAGAAAGTATAGCCTGTACAGCTTGTGCAGCTGATACTCTGGTATCCCATTGCGGAGACTTTAACAGAGTAGAAACTCTTGCCAACAAATGATGTAGATCATGAGGATGTAATCTTTGCGCTTCTCCTAATTGCTGTGCTGCAGCTCTTTTAGTGACAGCATTTGTTCCTGTTTCCAATAATATAAATAGTCTGTCCAACCTGTGGTAATTCATATATTACATTATACATACTTATACTTATGTAGCACAAATTAGTGGTAATTACAACTTTCAGTTCTTAACTACGCTATATCTACTAGTTTAAATTAGACGTTTAATATTACAGAAGTATGCAATTTGTCAAATAATGAAATATTTGACAAAATACTTAATATTTCTTACTTTCAAATAGCATTTTTACTATATTATGAATTTATGTTGCTAATACTAACCAAATATATGTGTATTATTAATCACAATTGTTTGAAAAATGAAGTGAGAATAATTAGGAATTAAAGGGAAGATTTTGTGTATTTAAACATTTGATATTGTTAACTACAAAAAGTTAAACAATAACAGTATTACACACAAGTAATAAAAAAATATTGAGGCTGTAGAAGATATTAATTTATATTGCATATTATATACCTTTTACAATAGAATTTAAGGACATTATTTTGTTAATGTTATATTACTATTTAATCACAGTACAAATAAATATTTAATGTTTACATAAATATAAATATTATAATAAGATACAGATTTGAATACATGCAAATATTTGAAACACAAAATATGAATTCTATATACTATAGAATTGGTTCTTACATTTTTTTTTTCGAAGAACTTTCCTTATATAATTTTACATTTCAAGCATATCTAAATAGAATGTAACAGTTTGACATGTACACATATAAAACATAATAACTTTTAAGTATATATTATTAATTCATATACCTTGTGTTTCAATATTTCATAAGTATTAAAATGTTACACATTTTATGCACTAGTATTACATTATCATAAAATAATAATTAATGTTTTACCTGGATGTCATATTTGCAAGTATCGTTGATCGTAGAATAACAGTAAATGTCTAAAATCAAAATAAAAGTACACATATATCTCTCTAATTTTATATACACATATGAAGGATTAATGACTGTTGATAAACAAGAATACATTTATAGTTACATTTGCAAAGAATAGGCATAGAAATTTTAAAAATGCAATCAAAAGTTCTTCAAATACTAATAAATTAACTGGAAATGTATTTTCAATAAATTTTTAAATATCATAAAAGTTTGAAAGGAAGTGCTTTGAGTGATCTAATTGTACAAAATAAGATGGAGTACAAAAAATACTAAAATAAGTTATTATTTATTATTTGATTAATGCAAATGACTTGAATAGAAAAAGCCAAATAAGAAGTCTAAAGATGAAAATTTGTTGTAGTAATATTGATGAGGTGGAGATAATACTTGACATCTGCGAGGACGCGTTTTTTTCATTGGTATTTAAATTCAAGTATCTGGGTAATGTAGAATTTTAGCATAATGGTGTAAACTTTAATTAAAAAAACTGAATACAATATAATACTTCCAGAGATATTATTAAAAAAAACACAATATGGGTACATAAATAAATAATAATTGGCGAACAGTTAAACATACCTGATTGCAATACACAATTTATTTAACTGCTACACTTCAGCTAACCCGCATAGCAGTTTCCCACTGTATTGATTCCTTAAAAATCACATTACGATGTACATTTTGAAAAAGTCGACAGATAGACAGACTATTTGTCAAATTTTTCGGAGAGCAACGCATGTTACAAGCATCAAATTTATACTGACAGCCATATTGCAGGGGAACCTGAGTTTTGTCCCCCAATTTTATTCTTATTGGCGGGTTATGTGATGCTTATGAATCGATTGACCAATCAACGCTGTCTTCGTGCATTGCTCGCATCAAGTTGCACATATTTCGTACATAGGACGCATTTATGCCGCGTACACATATTTATTAAATGCATTAATTATTTGAGTATTATACATTTGAATTTTATTATTTAAATGCATTAACATATATATGTATACATATAATTTGTTACTACTTGTTCGCTATTATTTTATAAATACTTTACACTTGAATAATTTGTACATATAATTAAATTTTGATAACTTCCATTATAATTTTTTGCGCAATGTTTAAAAGATTTCATATTTATAATGCATTTGTGTTTCATTGATATTTTATCATTCGACTATGTTCCCAATTAACACTGTGTTTTAAGTATATAACACAATTTATGTATTTCATTTATGACTATAAGTTTTTATATATTGCAATAATATAAAAAATAATTAGTTAAAAATATTTAAAGCGTTTTAGATATAATTAGATAAATCAAATTACTTGAAACTTGATCATAAATTTACATACAATAGCTTACATTAAATTGCTAGAAAAGTATTTGCATATATAATCATTCAATGATTTAGTATTAAGTACGAATTTCCATAACACAATTTCCAGTTTGATGCTCTTTTATATGTCTGTGATGTTATTTTGCCGTTTATATTTTTTCCAATGTTTTATGCAAATTTGTTTTATTTCTTAAGTTGAAAAATGTAATGTATATTTACTTATTAAAAGTTGCAAAGTATTGTTTTAATTGTTAAATATGTAGTTCAATATTTTAATTATAATTCTTTTGAATAACAAAACAAAATTCTTGTTCAGAATCATATAATTATTTCCTCAAACTTTGTACAACTTAATAAAATTTTTTTAATATAATAAATTTTGCCTGCAAATAAATCATTTTATTTAACAATAATAAATTGCATTTTTTGTATATTAGGTATTTATTTTACTAACTTTCAAAATTATTCAGCAAAGTTTAATGAACTAATACAATATAGCGGTGTTCTATTTTGACTGAATATATTTCCAATAATATATATATTAATGATATTTGTAGCTCCTGTGGCCCCCTGAAAATTGAAATACATAGTATTGTAACACGCAATTATTCTGACCAAACATAAATTTAAAAATTATGAACTTACTTATACGTAGATAATTAATAGCATAAAAGAATAAGGAACCGGCAACTAACACTTGGTAGTATGGAGCTGCCGTTGCTCTTTTTGGCTGTACCCATGCCATTTGCCAACGCCAGAAAGCTGTAACATTGAGTAATTTTAATTATTTTTTAATGCTTATTATAATGATTAATGACAATAATAACTTAAACGTTACTAACATATACAAATATTTAACTTGTGTAATGACACTAATAAAAACAAGGTTATATCTAGCCTGTTACATAATTTCTAAGCCATAGTATAATCATTTTAAAATAATATAAAAAGTATACTACAGAAAACACGCAATCTAATTATTTTCTGTAATTGTGATATAAAAAAAATGTTATATTAAGACAATTTTTAATTTTCTTTTTTTTAACATTTTCTACAAAAAGAAGTCTGGCATAAAAGTTTGGAATCTTAATAAAAGGTTTAAAGTCTACAATTCTATAGTTCAGTCAGTTTAAAAGTGTACTATTCATATTTAAATGATCATTTATATTAGTCGTAATATATAATTAAAAGAAGATACATTCATATAAAAAGATACTAATGATGGAAAAGTAGAAACGGAAAAAAATTTCTAAGATTTATCTTTTGCTATTCATTTCATAAAACCACATGTGCGAAATTGTTGCGATTACAGAAAATAATTAGATAACTTGTCTTTTATAATATACCGTATGTACTTACCTCGAGAAAATAATCCTGCTATTTCCCTGGGACCCTTTTGACGTCGTCCAATCCATGCTGGTAATTCACGAAGCTTAACATCTCCAAATGGTGTATCAGCTACAAACATATACTTGCTATAATGAATTAATTTCTAGTTTCATTAATACAAAAATCAGACAATATTACTTACGTTTTCCGTAGTATCGGGCAGGGTTGTATGGTCCATGTTGATCTGGATTGTATTCAGCAGGGTAATCACCGAACCTAACATGTTTTGTTAACGGAAAAAGAAATGATTCTTCGGCCCCTGATTTTTGTGGCTGAGACATCGTAAAACAAGAACGAAATATCTTATTTTAATTGATTTAAGGAATGAAGAACGGTACCATGGGCCAAAAACTACGTAACTCCCTACAGTGTCAGCGAGTAGAAATGATCTAATTCAACGCCCTCTTTCACCAATATTGGAACTAAACGTCAATATGTACATATAGCACGGTATACGTAATATATGATCATTCATTTTCACGCTGAATTTAGTACAAAAATTTGTAATTGATTTTTATGCGTATTCTTTTGGTGTAACTGATAAATAAGTTAATATAAATTTGTAATATCAATACTTTATCGTAAACGAATAATTTCAATTATTACTAGTATATTCGAAATAAGAAATACCTATGAAATATTTGATATGTAAATGTTAAATAATTTAAATATTTAATATTTAAATGAATTTTGTTATATGCAGAAAAGTTTAGATATAAGTAGAAATGATATACTCGATATTATTGAGAAAATTATTTTCAATATTGAAAAGACCCCGCGAGACTGCGACAAATGTATGATCCGAATTCTAGTATATCTATAAGACTATAACAATGCAAATATAAAACTTTCTTATTTTTGATTTTTTGTTATCAAACTTTTATCAACAGATTTTTTACATTTTTCTTACTGATTTAATTAACGGCAATAAATTTTGATCTCGAAAAAATGTAGTAAGTGAAAAAAAAATTGCGAATTGTGATGTTAGCGAACTCGGCAAAGATCAAAAGTCTATTGCATAATTTACAATACTAATGTGTCGTCATTTTTTTTTATCTTCAGTCATTTTTTATACAACTTGTTCCTCTATATTTGACATTTTGCTGATTAAAACAAGACCAAATATGACGCAATTTAAAACATACTTATTTGTAATTCCAAACATTTCGCTTATATCGAGAATTGTATTATAATAAATTATGATAAGTATACACGTCCCGAATTGTGTCGTGTTTGGTTTCATTTTATTTAGGAAAATGTTACCAATATGTTGCTAAAAATCTTATGAGAAAGGATTGAAAATAAAAAAGTTAGCAACGCAGTTGTAAACAATCGGAGGATCTTCTCAGTCGTGGGTAACTTTGTCACTTATATCGAGACTTTACTGTATAACCATAGATCCATGCCTATTCAATTGGCCTGTGATGACAGCAATGACCGAATCGATAATAATTCTTAAATCGTTATTTTTTGAAAGCCGTTGTTTATTTCGGCAAATGTCCTATTTTGACTTTATACCATGTCCTTTTAATTCATAAAAAATTGTTTAAATCAGTGTTCTCCGTTTCACAACCTTCTTTTGCAAATAGAAAAAAGGGATTTCAGTCGTCGCATCAACCTTTAACTGACAGATGTGCTGAAAATGTAAATAAACCAATTACAATCGATTCCCGCGCTGGAATCTGCATTTCAAATTTTACTTCTATTGTTTGCGCTGATATAGACAAACGAGACAAAGTAAGATACTTGTTGATAGTTGATTTGAAGAAACGCTATTAGCAAGTATTCCTTCAAGAGGTTAGTTGGCCGCTAACGGTTTTTAATCAGAAAAACTCGTCAAATTTATCGATATGGCATGTGGCGTACTTGCTCAGTGGGAGAGAATAAATTAGACTGTTTTACGATTATCCGGAGACTTTTTATTCGACACCTCTGTACACGACGCGTGTTCGTTTGATTCTCTTGTTTTTTCCCGACTTTCGAGAAGGTTGGGGGCGCATCGTCTTTTACCAAGCTTACCAACTACTATATACAAAACTTACAAACTAGTGACAATAAGGAAAACTTAACCTAATTAAAACTAGATGGCGCGACTATACATTTCTGGACGACTCTGGTCGCTACAGGCACACTTGACATACGCCATCTTTTAACGGTTCTTACAACTAAATTTCATGATTCCCCTAACATGGTACGCTATATTTTAGCCTAGTTGGACATATCATAGTTATAACCATTGGAGAAGACATTCAAACTGCAAGAAAGGTTTACAGTTGTCTTAGGTTGTGATTGTAATGAATTTGTTTTTGATGAGCAGTTTGCTGTAATGATCTGAAAGATCAAATCGCGCTAAAATTTGAAGTCTATTTATTTAAATATCAAACAAACGGATTTTGCGTTATTTGACATGTGGTTTCAAGTCTCTGACGTGAGATGTCGTTAGTTACGATAGACAAGAGCAAAAAATTATTTACTGGACGGAAAGAAATGATGAATTATTATGTAATAAAGAGAATCTAAACTATTTAATCAATAATTGAAATGTATAATTAGCAATAGTATTAAAAAATTCTTTCCATTAATTAGCGACTAATAAAGAAATAAATATTTGTTAATAAAATTCATGTTGCGAGTGTAAGGATATTTCGTGGGGTTTTCAATAAAGTGAAGTGCTGTGATTATGCGCGTGCGCACTTGCGTACTTGCAAAGATCTTGGTTCAGCAGGGTATAAATGTCCGTGTATCAGATACTGGAATGAGCAGATTCGATTCTGAATCAGCTGAGAGTGAATCCTTGAGAGTGATTGATTCAATTTACTCTCTGTTCACCGCAGGGTAACCTCGTTTCACTCAGAAGCTGGGATGTTAAAGGTTTCTCATTTAATAAGAAATGGTCTTTCTGTTTTATCAGTTGCTATATTTTCTGTCATTGTTTCACGCGCGACACACTTTACGTTGTCATGAGTGACACCATGACTTTCAATCATCCTATCTTCAAAGATCAATATGGACAGCTTTAAGAATAATCATATGCGTCTAATTAGTAATAGTAATAGAGTGCTGTGTAGATCGGTCAAAAACTGGTCCAAACGCGAGATTTATTTCTAATAAATAGTTTGTCATTTCTTTATAAATTATTTGTAATAAATATTAGTATAATATATTACTGATACTTTATCACTGTATCCCCCTATGAAGCTAGCTGCAATTCTGGCGAAACGTTGGGAACTCGCTTCCTTTAGGATACGGCTTACACCCGAAAGCCTCAACATTAATATCTGTCTGACGCCGGGAATGAAAGCTTCAAGTCTACTATAATATATATTCTTAAAACATGTGAAGTAATCATATCAGTATGTTTTTTTTTTAATTTTTCAGTGTTTTAAAATTGTGTGAATAATTCGAAAGCCAATATTAGTAATATACAGAAAATTGATGACAAATAGATTTCTAATTATTAGAGGTGCGCACATGAAATTAAATTCACTCGATTTGAATTTCCCGCCCATTCATCTTTGCTGGACATCAAAGATATTGCCCGCAGTGTCGTCTCTTTTTGTACCTGCTCTTTGGTAAACAGAATATAGTTTGGACAGGAAGGCATCTGGAACCAATAGTACCATTTTTTGCTGCTAGGAACATAGTGCTATCAGTGGTAGAGGCACGCAATAAGTGAGAAACCGTGTCGATGTCTCGCGATTGCGGAACAGTAACGAAAAAGAACAGACACATTTCCGAGACACATCTTTGAATGTTTTCTTGTCCGTACAATCTAGCAGCATTAATTTCATACGCGACGTGTAAAAGGAGACTAGGCTATTGCAAGAAATTAAAAAAAAGTAGCAAAGTAATTTTAATAATTTTATGAACATTTTCAGGAAACAAGCCGTAAAGTTCCAAACTTGTTTTACCTGACACATAATGACTTTTACGGCACTTTTGGATTAAAAGATTTCTTCAATATTGGGATATTATCGAAATTTTCTCATGAGAGATAGTTGTTACTGCAAAACAATTTTTAGCGAACGTTTGCTATCTGTGATGTAAAAACTTGATATAAAAGTTTATTTATTATTTTGAAAACATATTTTAAATTTCTTTAACGCATTTATTATATTCTTTCAAGCTGTAAAGATTGCAGCAAAAATCAGCAGAGTTATTAACTCAAATGTGCAAACATTGTTTAAAATTTTATTTTTTTTAAAGTATAAATATTAATTTAAATTTTTTAAAACACGATCAATCATAAATTTTTAAACGATATATATTTAGGTACAGAGTGTGAGAAATATCTTAATAAATTAATTATGGAAGGATACGTAGATATTCAATATGCTTGTTAAAACTGTTTACAATTTTATACCACTGCTGCTCAAGATATTTTTTAAAAAATTTACCAATAAATAACCCGTTCTTACGAAATTGAAAGCTTCTTATATATGGTCAGTAATGAAAAACTATACTAGTCACCGAATTTTGTCGCAATAGTATTTTTATAATAAATCTGAAATTACATATAAGCTGCCCATATATGTGTAATTGTATATGTTAGTATATTTGAAACTATGGTAATTTTGCTTCCCATATCCCGTTAAACTATAAGAAAACGAAGTTTTTTTCATACTTCCTGTAAAAATAATCTTTCAATTCTATTACATTAATCTTTATGATGAATTGAAAAATATGTGTGGCTGTTAGTCTACTTAAAAATGAGCGTGATCATGGAATAAATAACAAAATTTTATTAGAAAACGTTATTTATTTTCCTTTTTTTTTAGATGAAATTAACATGCTCAGAGACTTCAGCATTGTCTACTTAATTTACTATAGAACATTTGTAATTTAAGTCTCCAATTGGGAATTGAATGCAATAAAGGGTTGATATATGTATAAAAAATTAACACAACATTAAAGTATGAAGAGAACGATATGAACTGCGGATAATTTAAAAGTAAAAAAATTGCGATAATTGAGGCCATAACCGGTAAATCTTCCCTATCATTTATTTTTTTGGAATAAACGACGTGGCCGACAAGATAATTTTTATCGACTTTGCCGAAATAATTAACAGCTATACTTCACAACTTGTTTCTATAAGCGGGTTTGTAATAAGCCATACAAGCATCGTTGACTTCAGGATTAAAAAACTTCGAATTGAATTTTCAGTTTACTTTATTCAATACAAAAGTTTTAACAAGGAAGGGAAAGGACATAATTGAAATGAAATCTATTAAACAATACAATTACTAAATTGGTATTTGTTATTCGACATTTTCTTAGTTACTACGCATGAATACTAAAAATAATAATTTTAGTACCTTTTACTTCTATTTAAGCGTATCAAGTTTAAAATTTAAACTATATAGCTAAAGCTATAATTAATTATAAGATAGTTCGTATTTGTGCTCGTTATTGATAATGTTTTCGTTTCAAATTCCTATCCTTATTGCTATCACTAGCCTCTAGTGGTCGTTTATTTCGTTATATTTCTCCAGTACAAAGTTTATTCAATGTACGATTTCTTTCGAATTTATAGAATATTATAAATTCAAAAATTTATTATGCTATATTGGATTCAATAAATTTTGCATTGTTTGTTTATGTGATGTACAATATTTTAGTTTTTCGGTTTCTTATAACAAGCATAAATAAATATTTAAAAGTGGTTAATCTGTAAATTGATATTAGCTATTGCTCATAATTATTCGAACAAAGCTTTTTAATTGCATACTAAGGTGAAGTGGGGTAAGTGCAGACTGATTTTTGTAAAGATGGTATTTAAACGTAAGTATTTTCAGTTTGCTATGTAAATACTTAACGCTGTCGATATCGAACGCTTTGCACAATTACTACTATTTAATTAATATTAACTAGGACCTTAATTTTCCTTGTACATTTTGATTTTGATAGGAAATTGTTTAAAATGTCAACTACTCTGCACTTTCCCCGAAAATGGGGTAAGAGCATAACTTGAAGTTAAATACTTTGAAACTTTGTTTCATGTGCAATGGGGCAAGAGCAGAATTATTATAAAATCTATTATAAAATGCTTTTTACTGCATTATGCAAGTACTCTATACTGCAAACAAGTACTCTTAGCTGAAATATAAAAGGGGATATAGTGAAACAAAACAAGGAAACAAACATACTAAATGGAGAAATATCGCTCATATTGTAATAAAAATAGCCTGTATACGCACTTGCCCTGTTTACGAACTTACCCCACTTCACCTTATATTTCTTTTTTGAATTATATAGAACTTTATACTTAATATATGACCTCATACAAATGCTTTGATTAAAATAAAATTTAAATTATATTACTTGTCTGTAGTAGTGACTAGAAAATGAATTATGATGTATTTTGTCAAACTGAATATATACATTTATATAAACATTTCCGTACAATGGATTTCCGCTATATGACCATTATTTATATAACTGATTGAGTTTTCTTTTTTCAGTGTGAATTTTACACGGTTCTTCACGCATATGACGTAATTTCCTTTTTAGTCATAAATTAGTATTTACTTTTTATTATTAATTTACCCTTTCGTACACTTTATTTTACAGCTTATCAACTCAACTGATGTATTCATACACATTGTCGGAAAATCGTGTACTTATCATCGTATTACTTGTTTTGATCATTAAATAACTGTTGAAGCACGTATACATAAATACTTACTATGTACAGTATTTTTATTAGTCAGTTTTACTGTAAAAACATTAAATGTACAAAAAGAACTTGGGTTCATCAAATTAAAAGAAACTAAGTTGTTAACACGTTTCCAGATTATTTATAATTTGTATAAAACATTTAACATTTAACGTTTTATTGGATATCATTCATTTTTAGGTTCTTTCAATCTATTCTTCATGAAAAAAGTTAATTTTCATATAATATTTGGTTTTATTTTAATTCATTCTGTTTTCAGTATATCTTTTAGCTATGTTTTGTTAGTTATCTCATATTTTCTAGTTTGTCTAATTCATTACACATGTTCAATTAAAACTGTGAAAGAGCCAGTAAGCCAGTGACTATTATGGCTGCATGTTTTGGATCACTGTCATACTGAAAATAAAATTTCTGACACAAATTTTCTTTTCAAAAGTTTCTTTTCAAAAGAATCTGCAGTTCTTTCATGTTTCTTCTAAAAATATTTAAAAAACCCATTTTTCTATATATTTTCAATGAATTATACTTTCTTAAACTTATTTTTGTATTTTTACAATTCATTTCTATTTCGCAAGGATGATTCGATTATAATCTAAGACAATGCAGAAATATATACTTCGTACATAATAAATATTTGAAGACTTTTATTTTTAATAGTAGTTTGTAGACCAAAATGACTGTAAAATGATAGTGAGCTTACAATTCTGTGTATGTAGCTACATTGTACAAGAAAACGTATACATGGAAAAATTACTTATCTACAAAATGAACCGTGTCAAATGAGATAGTCAAATTTGTTTAATTTGCAATGTGGAAAATTATAATTTTCCGAATATAAAGGACTGTATAAAAACACGGTCGAATAGAGTCAGCTTTCAGAATTTTCTACCTCACAGCCTTGTTCATGATAATATAATGAAAATCCACTGTAAGTTACGAAAAAATATAATCATAAATACATAAATATAATTATAAATAAAAAATTTTCGTTCGTTTAATTTTACGCTAACATAATTTTGGTATGTTTTGAAACTTGCTATTCGAGTAATTACGAGAACAGCAAATACTGTGTTTTAAATCCTTTTAAATAGTACTTTCGTTGCATAGTTATTGTAGAAGATACTAAAGTTTTATAAGAGTAAAACTGTAGATAATATCATGAAGTACATTTCATTAATTTTTATTTGCCGGAACGAAACTACTAAATTCTTTCAGAAGACTGTTTTGGATTTACTGTTAGTAAAAATTCCTAAGATAGACTTTAAGTTAATATATTTGTACTGTAAAATGCTATCAATCGATGAGCAAATCTTTTCTTCTTGATATATATTTTTAAAATACAATCCAGCGGACTTTGTCAGATTTGAAAATCTTAGATTTTTATTGTACGGCGCAATATCAAAAGTTTAGACGCACCATTTTCTTTGAATCCCTGATGTTCGATTAATTCTTTCTGTTTAATGACTAAATTACCGTGAAAAATTATAATTACCACTGAAAATATATAAATTCAGCATCATGGATACAAATTTTTACGGCAGAAGAGGAAAATGGCCGTATAAGAGTATACATAGAGTTTAGATTAAGTCTGTAAGCCAAATTCGAATATTTGTTCGAATTTTCACAGCTTTAGTTTAGGCACCTTTTACAAAAAACTTGTAGGCATATGTTATGTATAATATAACATAATATAATATAACTTACACATTATACATATAATATATGTAATATGTATATACATTTTTAACAAAATCATTTTCCGCTTTCATCGTAAAAATTTGTTTCCAATTTAAATGTTATAGTTTTAATTTAAATATTAAATTAATTATAATTTAAATATTATAGTATTTATAATTTTTCAAAGGGTTTTAATTATTTGACAGTAGAAATTAGTCGAAAGTTCAACATCGTTTTACTGACGAATCAATAACGTTTGATTTAAAAAATAGAGTATGTCAAAACTGTTGACTTACACCGTATTAAATATTTATTTTTAAATCGATCTAACGAATGTGCATTAAAAGAACTGCAAATTTGACGCGAAATAAAATCATAAACGATCATGATTTGTTTCCAATGCTTTCATCTACTGATACCATTTTGTAATAAGATTCCAGTAAATTTGCTTGTATTTTAATATTTCCTAGATTTTCATAATTTCTTTGTACTCTAAAATATTTACACGGAAGCAGCGACTTCCTGTTCCATTTCGTGTAGCATATTGTATAACCGAGTTTTTACATTATCCGATACTGCGGCACGTGGTAGATGTTCGATATCACCGGCTGGATTTGCGCATTGCCGTAAAAGTACTGCCAATGTGCTGGTGGTGTGCTCTGACATAAGTAGTCCAGGAATTATGATAGTCCCCGAAAGAGTCCAGCCGAGGAATATTTTTTCGCATACAATCTGAAATACCAGAAATATTGATTAAACTACTGAGTATATGAATAAAGTAACGTTTACTTCCGTCCATTAATCATGCTATTAATTACTCGATGTTTGTATGTTTTGCTTAAAACAATGAATTATGTTTTAAGCAGAATTATGTAAACAAATTCATTGTGTTTTATGTAGAATTATTTAAACAAATTAATTCTTGGATAACCGATCTAAATTCATTTAATGCTAAAACTACTAAATCGGATGACTGGTTTACATGTTTCTTATTTACTTATCTTATAAATTAAAATATTTGTTAAAATACTGTTGATTTTAAATTTAATCTATCATAACGTAATATAATAAATGTCTTGTTAGTGGACAATGGATTTTTGGCAATGTCGAACGAACAACCAAACGTTTATTTAATAGATCTGAGACTTTACTTCATTTAATTAAAAAATGTATTAAACCAAATTCTACAGCTATATCAGATCGATGGAAATTTTATAATTGCCCCAGAGAAGAAGGATGTAAACATGTAACTGTAAACCATAGGATGAATTTCATCAATCCATATAGCAGTGCACTTATTCGAAACGTCGAACATTGGCGCGAAACAAGAGCCAATATTCCACGATATAGGACCCGGAAAGAGTACCATATCGGTTACGTTACTGAATTTTTATTTCAACGGAAATACGATTTCAACAGTTAGTTCAATTCTTCAATCTTCAAAGAATAGTTACACTTTTATTGTATATAATGGCATACATTTTTTGAAATTTTAAGTTAATCGAAATTACAGGAATTTTGCATATCGCTTTCGTCAAACTAATTTTTGAAATGAATACATATTTTACCTTAACGCTAGTAAACAAATTTCGTTATTCACCTAATACCACGGAAATAGAATTTCTTTACTTTTTGCAAATTACTCCGAATTTGAAATAAATACAATGTGAAATATGAAAATTTTCCTTAGTACGATAGTTCTATATGACATCGCGTTTGAAATCGTTATCTAACAACCTAACTTGTCAGTTGTTTAAATTAAATAGTAACGGCTAACATAAGGTGAAGCGTGGTAAGTTCGTGATCGGGGCAAGTGCGTATACAGGCTATTTTTATTACAATATAAGCAAAATTACTCCATTTAGTATGTTTGTTTCCTTGTTTTGTTTCACTATATCCCCTTTTATTCAGCTAAGAGTACTTGTTTGCAGTATAGAGTACTTACATAATGCAGTAAAAAGCATTTTATAGCAGATTTGTTAATAATTCTGCTCTTGCCCCATTGCATATGAAATAAAGTTTCAAAGTATTTAACTTCAAGTTA